AATTATATATCATACGAATTTTAATTACAATAATTTAAGATACTTTCATTAATTTCGTTATTAAACAAATCATGTTTTTGTGATTTGGTATTGCATTATTCTATTTTGATCAAGTATTAATAATAGATGTATAAACAGTTCCAAAGTTTCATGTGTACTTCTAAGCTAATTTAATCTTTCAGAACTATAAAAGAGTATCAAGTTCAAAAATACTAATCTTAAGCAATTCCAAATGCAAGGAATATAAACTTTAATGAATAAAACTACTGTAATTTGATATAAATAATAATAAATAAATGATAATAAATATGCTGCACGCCAAGCAATCTCCTAAAACCCAACTCACCCGCCTCGATTAGCCCCCGTTAAAGCTTTATAAAAGTGTAAATAATTGCATAATTCACTTCATCATCCAAGGAGCGTACAAGTCCATAAAAGACTCATTAAAAAAACACTTGCACTCAATTAAATCGAGTCGAGTCGGAGCTGTGTTGGGGGGACGAGGGAGCTAATCAAACAAGGGTCGCAGCCACCAGGACAACGTTGAATGCTAAACTTTGCCCCGCAGCATAATTGCACAACAAGAACAACAACGTCGAGGCGCCTGGAAAATGGAAAAACGAGTGCCTGCACTTAGACGATGGGCGGGGACTATGGGTCGAGGGGGGCAGAACTGGGGACAGTGGCTTAATGAGCTTGAAAAAGGGGGGAGGAGAACGGGGAAAGGCTCTCGGTTGGATGCGAAAACTAACCACAAAGTTGTTGAATGCTCTTGCGGCAGTCGGATCCTGTGGCCCGTTGTAGGTGTTAATGAATAAAGTTGTTTGTGGTCCAGTCGAGAGTCCGGAGGAGTAAAATGGAAAAGAATCGTGTAAAAAAGATGGCTGTGTGTGCGCGTGTAAGCCGCACACCATGATGAACGCCATCTATCCAAGCACAAACACCAACACACAAGCACACAGACACAGGTGTCAACTGGGCCCAGGCAACAAAAAAAAAACAACAACCACAAAGCAGACAAAAGTTGATTGTGTGCTGTGTTTTTTGTGCCGGAGTCCGGATTGTGGGGAAGGGGTGCTAAAGGGGGGACTGGGATGGACAGCAGGCTGGACATGGAAAATCGCAGACGTGAAGGTGACAAGTGCAAAAGTTAACACAACCGGAATTCATACAGGGGAACGGTGGGAATGAAACAAAACGGGAAATATGATTTTATGTCAAATTTGAAAAGTAAAATAATGTCGTTTTAGGAAAAGTATTATGTTATTTAGTTTTTTTATGCATTGGAAACCTAATATAAATATTACGCTTACAGAAATGATTACATTTAAAGAATTAATTTAAGTATTGGATACAACTAAATTTTGGGTTAAATACAAAATAATACAATTAAACAGTAACACAAAGAATAATAAAGGTTATTTAATAAATCTGATAGAATACTATTGAAATAATAAAACAATAAATAAATAAATAGAAAAAATAAGACAAAATAAATAAATAAAAATATGAACAAAGTAAACTACATAAGATCGTGCAACTATATATTCTATACTTAATAGACTTATATTTTCTGCACAAACACACTCTTTAAAATTAACAAACTTATTTCTGATTTAAGCATACGATTTCAATGATTTTTTAATATGAAACCAGGGTTAAATAGTTAAATTAATCCTTATTTCTGATTTTAATGATTATCTAATACGAAACATTATTGATTTAATCTTCAAAATAGTCAAAATGGTTTGTTTTAAAGCGGAGTGCAAGATCAATGTTTAGATATTTTGGTTTTTATTCGAGTTTCCATTAATATTAGTATTATTAGTTCTATTTATTCTTAGTAATATATAGTTTCGAGTAAATCTAATCGAATAGAATCTACAACCAACGTATTAAATCTTAACAAAAATCCTTTTATAAATCATCCATGGGAGAATAAATCAGAACGCCAAGCCCCAAGCTTACCATCAGCACTTCTGTACAAAATTAATCAGAAATAAATGCATTAACTTTGATGCTCTTATTTTGCCTGAGACTTAACAATACAATTGCTGTCATGGACGTGATGATCTATGAGAAGTTAAAGTTTATAAAGCAGAAACCGAGCTTAACGCAAATTAATGACTTTGATTACAGTGGCTGTTGAACTTGTTCCGTTGGGTTTTATGGCCGAGCATGTAGGGCTCATTAGAAGCGCCGAAACAGAGTCATTAAAATCAATTAACCAGGGAGGAAGTCGGGGAAAAGCCAACATAAAATGCGGAAACACAAAACAAAGTTGCCAGCAGTCGGTGCAGAATTGTGCATAATTGCTTTAAAATTGCGCCACTCGATTTAATAAACCCCACGGCAAAGAGAACAATAAACGGAGGCATAATGGACATTCCAGGCCTATGGGACCCGGTCTCGGAGCATTATCCTGGTTTGGCAGCATCCTTCGTTTATTAAATGGCGCGGACAAAGGGAATCGGAGTAGAGGAAAGCTAGACAGCACCAACCAGCCACCGCAGCAACAAGAGCAATCTCGACAACAAATGCCGTCCAACAACATTCTGGAATATCCAGAAAATGGCGTTTCATATTGCCGGGCATATTTTACACACATTTTGTTTTGCTTTAATTTTGGCTTTCCATATTTTTTCGCCGTCCTCTTTGTTCTGTTGCTTTTTTGTGCGTGGGCCTTAACAAGTTTTTCTGGGGATTATGCGGCTTTATTTTTTAAATAAATTGAATTAAAATATTATATATCTCCTCGTTGGGTGCTTCATTATGGAAACATTTAAAAGTAACCACCATCACAGCCGAAATAAATCTTTCACAGAGATTCGTCAAGAAAACAAAAAAGAAAACACACACACACTCAAAATTAACCGAACAAAAAAGCAATTTTTCTAACTTGTTGTATCTGTTTGCCTCGGACAAACAACGTTTTCTTTTGCACACTCATCGAAAGGTAATTAAAATGTTTCGTTTCGATTTTCGAGACGCCGCCATATTGTATTCGCCTTTGGAACAATCATGTGGCATTATAATGATCTCGGGGCGTATTGTGAATTGGTTACTGTGTGTACGATATGATGATATTTTTGACTAATTTCATATTTCATTTTCCCCATCGACAGTGATGCAGCAGAAAAGTGCGTTTTTTAGGGTCTCTGATTTGTGTGCCGTGTCTATGATTGGTTAGCATTGGACTGGGCAACAAATTGGAGGAGATATCGAACATACTGATGGACTTTCAAGTGGCCGACGCACAACTTCATTAGGGATCGGGGCCTTTAACCTCTTGCGGGTAGCGGGCACTTGAAGTGCGGACGAGTAAGCCACCTCCCTCTCTCTCTCCTCCGCTCGCTGCATAAATCAAAAATTCAATCAGCATCGTTGGCCGGGTTAAATGTCCCTTGGCTGCTGGTGTTTGTTTTTATTGCAGTGACACCAGCACAAACACCAACACCAATCGAAAAACAAACACACACATGTGTGTGTGTTGACACGTGTCAAAACTTCCGCTTGTAATCGCTCGGAAATGCTTCTTTGGCACTCCGTGCTTGGCCCTCTCGAAAAAGCCATCGAAAGCCCGAAATTGGGGTAACTCTCGCCGGGATTACTGACTGTTTCGCACACATTCCATTCCACTCCTCTAGTTTTATTTTATTTACGTTTGCGATTGCTGTGCCTTTTCGGTTTGCGTTCTGGTTACTCGCCATGGAACATTAAGCTCTTGATTTAGATTATGCAAAGGTTATTTATGATCCAGTTTCCACTCTCCTGCGATCGGGAGTGGGTCGAAATTTGATAAGTGGGTGAGTAAAATGGAGCAGGGCGGTCAAGTATGTGTTTATGGATCCATGCGATATAGAACTGTCTTAAGTGGTGCCATTAAAACAGCGAGAACTGATTTGAGGGGTCAATATACTAAGGCGAACAATGAGTTTTAAGATTATAATGATTGAGAAATTTACTGAACAGTTTCAGCAAATATATACATAGTATATGGACAAGCATTTATAGGTAGTATATAAATTTAATTTCGGATAGGAGGGATTTTACTTTAAAATACAGAATTTTTATTTATATATGATCAGTTTTATTTTAATACTTTCTTTGAAAAGGAATTCGTTTTATTTCCAGTTTATCCAAAACATTTGTTGTTCCCGAGATCATATCTCTACCAGCCAAAAGCTAAAGTCAAGAGCTGTTCACAGGCTTAGGAAAATATTGCAGAGTGCAAGAGTCGAAGTCAAGCTGCAGTCACAGGAATTATCCTTACTGCAAGGACAACAACTTTGCCAGGGATTTGCCGAGGGTGGGAGAAGGGCTTAAGTCGCAGGTTTACAGGTGTCGTAAAAGAAGACCCGAACGGCCAGTGGCGGGTTAAGCCAGGTAGTGGGCGTTGCACCGACTTTTGCCGACGGCAACACGCCCACCTCGCCTATGTCCGGGATTTGCCCAGGAGATGGCAAAGGGTTAAACCCACGACAAGGTGAACTCATGTGTGTCTAGGGAAATAACAGAAATTTTATTCCCTAGACCTTAACTTTAAGAAGAGTTTACGTACAAAAGTCAACAAGAGATATACCACAATCAAAACTTTTCTAGAGTACACATTATTTTTTTTTAAATGGTTAAAAGGAAATTCTTGGAATTAATAAATAAACTACAATTGGCATGAATTAAATCTTAATTCCATTTTTAAGTTAATTTTGAAATCGTGAATAATTCACTCTGGAAAAAAGTATTTTTTATCTTGATTTATATATTCAACTCCTGCACATTTTGTATCGCATGAATCATAAACTTTAGGATCTATTTAACAATAATCCACAGAAAATATAAGGTTAATAAATCGAAAGTAATAAAAACCCGAAAGTTCTTTGTTTTAACATGAATTCTGAAGAATTTGAAACTATGACGATTTCATCCATTTCGTGTGCCAAAACAAAAGAGTGATTTGATTCCCCTGATAAAGTTTAGCATTATAACTCTGTAGCACTTACCCGTGTGCGTTCGCTTGTGGATCTTGAGATTCTCGCTCCGGGCAAACACCTTGCCACATCCCGGATGCGGGCAGGCGAAGGGCTTCTCGCCGGTGTGGACGCGGATGTGGTTGACCAACTTGTATTTGGCCTTGAAGGGGCGTCCGTTGCGGGAGCAGCCGATCCAGAAGCAGGCGTGGGTGGTGCACTCCGGGCCGCCGACATGCTCCACCGTCAGGTGGGTCACGATCTCGTGCATCGAGTGGAAGACCTTGTTGCAGGTCTTGCGCCCGCCAGCCTGCACCAGGCCCGGCTGGTCAGGATCTATCCAGAGGCACTGCATCTCCTGCTTGATGCTGGAGGCGGACGAGGCGGGCTGGTGTCGCATGTAGCGCAGGAAGGCCCCGGCTCCCGCTGGATGCATGGCGGACATGGCATGGTGGGCCGGATGATGCACGGCCGGATGGTGCACCGCTGCCGCCGGGAAGTTGCCGTGATGGTTGTACGGGTGTCCCGCGGCATAGGCATCCGCCATTCCCATCCGCATCTGGTGCTGGTGGTGGTGTGCCGCCGCCGCCGCATGATGGTGGCTGTGGAACGGGTGCTGCCCGAAGCCTGTGCTCAGCTCGGCTGCCTGGGCGGGAAAGCTGGAGAAGATCATGGAGTCCGCCGCTGCAGACGCCTGTCCGGCGCTGCCGGCCACGCCGTAGTCCGTGTCCCGGCGACCGAGCAGGAAGTCCCGGGAGGCATAGCTGTTGAAGTGTCCATAGCCTGAGTTCTGGTAGGCCGCCGCCGTGGCCGCCGCGGAGTCCGCACTGCCCTCCAGTTGCTGTTGCTGCTGCTGCTGCTGTTGCTGCTGCTGTTGTTGCTGCTGCTGCTGTTGCTGTTGCTGCTGGGCGGCAATCTCGTGCTGCTGCTGCTGTTGTTGCTGTTGCTGCTGGGTGTTGCTGGTGCTGGAGGTGGTGTTCGGCGACATGCGCAGCCCATAACTGGCCAGGTGGTGCTGGGCCGGCTCAATAAAGGCGTTCATCATCATGTTTAGAGAGTTTTATTTACGATTTGCACGGTTTCTATATGTTTCGCAGTATGTTTTTATTTTCTGGGGAATACAAGTTTTAGTTTTCGATTCAGGCCAGGGAGCCCATCACCGCACTAAGGTCACGTCACTTGGCTCCTTCGGCACTCTGTGAGCTTATTTCGCTAGCTTTGTATTTGTTTGATTTGTGTATTCAATTATTTATTTCTAGCCAAACTCTAAGCACTCGCGCGCGGTCTCAAAGAGCGTTGCGTGTTACGTTTTCGAATCGCGCGCCAAGACCAAGACTTGACGTTTTGAGATGCGCAGCAGGACTGAAATGCCAGCAGCTCCTGAAATTCCAACTCGCTGCGGGTTCCCGGCGATCGTGCGTGTGCGAGGGCGACGGCAAACTGGTTTCCAGCAATAGCGGCCCATCGGGCAGACCCTGCGTGAGAGCAGGCCGAACATAGTGCCACCTCGTGGTGAGTTTCGCAGTGGTGGTGTGTTTCCACAGGCCACCACTGTGCTGGATAGGCTTGGGCCGTGAGTGCGAGCGGAATGGCCAGAAGAAAATGGCTGCTCCTGGCTGGCTTTCGGGCGGCGGTTAGAGCAGCCCAGCAGTACGCACCCAATCCAATTGGAATGCCGGCCAGCATATAGCCTTCCCGCTCTGCTCGGTCGAGTCAAACTGGTTTTTCGGAAATTAACACCCACTGTGGTTGGCCATGGGTGGTGGGTGGTGGGGCTAGCAGGCGGCTCAAGGGGAGGGGCGTTCGCGCAGCATGCGCCCCTGCGCCTGGGGCCCCAAGAGCTGATTGGACCGACGGGCAGCCAATTGAAAGCTTGCGGGATGCATTTCCCAGCGCCCACGAGCTCTTGCTTATTTTTCACTGTCACTCCGGTCGAAATGTTTTTCATTATTTTCTGCGGCCTGCTCTCGCTGCCCGTCTGCCCGTCTGTCAGTTTATCAAATTAGTTGTTTATTTTATTGATTTTAATGATGCTAAGCACATTCCGTGCTCTCGGCCAGCGCGGATTCCTAGCCGCTCCGCTTTTGTTTGGATTGCGCAATGAAGACATACGTTTTCATTAGCGCCGACCGCTTTGTTTTTCATTTACTAATTTATGGAATTTTAAATAAGCAGCCGTCGAAACAATGCATAATTTCGTATCAATTCGGCTTGATTGGGTTCTGCTGAGTGTTAAGTGGCCGAGCAAATTGCCTTTTTGGCCAGATTGTGAACTGATTTCTTGGTTGGAGGCTCGCAGTGATTAAAATATCTTCTCTTGTTTGGTACAATAATATTTTCCTTAATTTAATATGATTTTTTTAACATGCTTCCTTATTAGGTCCTGTAAAAATGACCTAAACTCGTTCACAAAATAGCTGGAAAAACATGATTAAATATTTTATTTTTAAATGAATTCTATAGTATTTTGATGTAATCAAAGAATTAAAATTTGAAGCGTTATATCTTATTTGTTTTTTACTCGAATTGCATTCAACTTTTAGTTTATTTATGATTCTGACCTACCTATATGTACATAAGTAAAAAATATCAGTAGTTGAGATGATTCTTATTTCTTAAATGACTTACTTCTATACATATATTTAAACAACAAATAGTTTAATCCTGAGAGTTGCGACCATTTTATCTGGATTCTTGGATCATTTAGAAGGAGTTCTAGGAGACTCGTTACTTTTCTTAACTCACTTAACTTATGATATATAATTATTATTATGATTTCTAAAGAAATTTATTAAAGTATGTGTTACATAAATCTAAATTTCAGCTCGAAACCCTTGAAAAAGTCGAATCTAGAATCTTTATGCCGACGAAGAAGCTTCTTTCACACTTCACAACTTTCACAAACTGGCTTAAAATCTTCAAATTATCGTGCTATTCGATCTATCTGCAGACTGTACTATTTTCCAAATAAATTGGTAAAGCCCCCCACTTCCGATCATAGAACCTGGGTTCTTCGGGCAATTAAAGCATCGGGTAAATTGTGACACTAAATGTCACCGGCAAACGATTCGGCTATTAAAATGTCAAAACAAACTCCGCGGCAATCGGTAATCGTCCGAATGTCAAGCCCGACCCAAATGCCATATTTGGGATCCGGGCAAGACCATAAAACTTGGAAAATTGCGCCAAACTGGCGAGAGCTCCGATCCCGCAGCGCATCAACGACAAATGTCATTCGAAATGAAGCCATTGCTCCACATTGAGTTAGATGGAGGGGAAAATGGTTGGGGGATCATGATGAAGATGGAAATGGAAATGGAGATGGAGACGTTGGCAGCTCGACTGAAGTGGATTTCTAGCGCATTGCCATAGAACCACTCCCATAAATAATGCATTTCGAGCCACTTGAAAATGGAAGCGCAAAATGCAATAAACTTTGTAATAACAGAAGCAAAAACAACAACAGCAATCAGGGGCCAGAGCAAACCACAAATTAGAAATGTAAAATTCTCAGATAAACAATATGGCAAGTTTACACAGCAGGTCGCAGTTTCTGTTGTTCCATCTTTGTATCTCAAGTGGTCAGACAAATAAACTTTCTGTGAAGTTGCTTTTTTAGCTAGTAAAAACGTATAAATTAGAGTTTTGAACACTTATTTCTTCAGCATATTAATTGTTCTATTCGGAAAATATGGTAAAAATTTAACACTTTTTCTTCCTAAAGTTCTAAAAGATTCACAGAACAAAATAATCGAGATAAATCTAAATTATTCCGACAAAGGATTTAAACTCTTGCCATATTTTTCGTAATCATTATTTTCTAAGGACCGGTTTTAAACTCGAAATTTTACAATTTTGATCGATCTCAGGCAATTATAAAGATTTATAATAAATTTAAAGCTTGAATAAATATTGTTTTAGTTTATTTTTGAGTTTTAGTCCCGACATTTTATTAATTTAACCATATACTTCTGAACTCATGCTTAAAATCCAATTTTATAATAAAGAAATTGAGCCTTTTTCTGAATGTTGCTTTAAAAAAATTGTTTCTTTTACTTAAACTAAATAGAAGCACAAATTATATTGTGAACAAATGTTTAATATTGCAACTCAACACTTAATATTCCATATTTTTTCATATATAAGTTACCAATTTCTTATGGGAACTTTTCTTCTTATTCCTCTAATAATGTCTCATATTTTAATTTGAAAAAAAAAGATTTTTTATTTTGGCCATACTTCGCGCTGAAACCCATTCCTGTCAACAGAAATATCTATTTTTAAGAATATGATTTAAAAAAACTTGAAAATTATTAGGTTAACATTGTTAATTAAGCTCTGAGTGCATTTATTTTTCACTCTTGAGGAATATTTTACTATGCATATACATATTACCTTGGATTAATTTCACCCTTAACCCTTAGGCCAGCCCGACATGCTCGTGCTTAATCAGTTTTGGCCACAACAAAGTGGGCAACCAGTGGGCGTTGACTTGGGCCAAATGGCCTCGTGTCATGGGAATCAGAGCCGGAATCACAATCAAAACGTAGCGCGGCCCGGCGTGGACGCCTTTGGCACATGCCGCGATCACAGCACGGTGCACGGTACAGGTCTCTCTTCCTGGGGTTCGCCTGAGACTCGAGACCCGGGATTCCGAGATTCCAGGCTTGAGTGCTCGAGAGTTCGAGTGTTCCATGCCGGGTCCAAAGTGAGTGCGAAGAGAGTGCGAGGTCTCGCAGGGAAAGAGCGAAGGAGCGGGAGGCCAGTGTCAAAGGAGTGAAGTGGGAGCGTGGGAGTTTTCCCTCCAACTGGTTTTCTTCACCGTTTTCCTTTCCATTCATTTTGGTGTTGATGGATGTGCGGTTGGAATAAAATAATGAAGAAAGAATTATAAACACAACTAATGGTGAAAGGAATGGGTAATGTAATTGCAATGGTTCTATAAGTAAATTAATATTTACATACATATAACTATATTTGACTAAATATGTAGAGAAATATTATTATTTATTAATATTGATTTTATTATAGGGAACTAAGGCTTCAAGTAAAATGAAAATGACAAAACCTTGATGTCACTGAATTCACATAAGTCTTTCAATAATACTTTATGTATTTATAAAGATATAAGGTATGTGAGAAATAACTCTTACTTTTTAACTTTAAGAGCATGCTTCAATAAATAATTTATACAACTAAAATATTCAAATCAAAGAACAATATATTTTTTAATTACTAAACATGAATGAAGAAAAACAAATTTAAAAAACTGGAAGTTTAGAATACAAAATATTCATAAGGAAGGTTCAAAATAAATCACTTATTTTCACCTTTGAAGAAAAGTTTCTTGAAAATATTTACTTAGGTGATGGGCACACGTCTCCCGCAAACCTCAGCCACCCCCTGAAAATTGCACAACCACAAAACATATCAGGTAAGGCAAATGTAAAAAGGAAATTCGCGAAACCCGCAAAAAATATTTAGGCATTTTAATCCCAGGGCGTGAGGAAGGTAGTACAAGGATTAACGAACCATCATAGCTTAGGAAAGTCAATTTTTTATGACCATGCCATGAAGATACCGGAACAAGGCAACACACCCGACCGAGAATCTGCAGAAAAAGAGGGAAAAATAAAATTTGGGAAAAATGATATGCCTCATAAAGATTTCACTGGAGAGCGGGCGAAACGATTTGGCTTCGGACGAATCATAAAAAAAGTGCGTGACAGGAGGAGTACGAATAGGAGAGATACGGACATACCCCGACAAGGTCATGTCAACCATAAATATTTACATGCCATAAACATCTCAAGGTGAGGGCCAGGATCAGCTCAGCTCACATCCTTTTTCCGCAATGCGTTTTCCATTGAACAGCAAAAAACAAAAGGCGAGCGGAAATCTTGAAGCCTTGAAGCCCGGACGATTTTATGGCCACATTGGCTAGCATTGGCAGCTTGGCAGGTAAGTCCACGTCCACGTCTTTTGGCCGAGTCAAGCAGTCAGTCAACTTCCCGGCCGGGACTCTCCGATACCGATACCGGTACCCCT